CGATTCCCACGCACCAGATACAACCGTCCTCGGCCCGTTGACTAGCAACTAGTCTATGGCGTTAACCTAACACCATGATTTACGCAGATACCTCCAGGTGTAGACGATGTGCTTTAACCTGGACTCCCTATGCCTGTTGCGAGGACGATTTCGTGCAATTAGGCACATAGCGGTAGCTGAGCCAATGATCAATGCCTATCCCCGTCGCCGCCGCCACGGCGCCGCGGCCCCTGTCAAGCATGGAGCTTACTCGACTAGGTTAATCAGCAGGAAAGCGCCACTCAGGTACCTCGCGCCGTTCCCCAGTCGGCCTTGGCCGTTAGGCTGTTTGGACACTGGCTAGTGCAAAGGTCCAAAAGTACGCAATACGAAAATGTCGTCGACAATGTGCACCAAGCGGCGTGGGCGCGTACATAGACTTACACAGATCCCTCCTGATCCCATAGCACGCACTACGGTATCCCGTTATGCACAGCTCAGTACCTTGCGTGCCTCTCTGTCCAACTGTTTCTGCCGTGCTCAGCCTGACCCAAAGAGTCCTGCCTGCGCCGGCCACAGACCCGGTGACCTGCAGTGTCCACTCTCATCATTTCTATCTTCAGCCATGCTTCCAAGACCAGTTCCATCGCGGCTGAACACACGTCGGCGCCGCTTCTCCCTCTTCCTCATACGTGCCAGCGCCTGATACAGTGTACTAGCCCCCTCCTCCCAGAGCCAATGCCGGGCCATCCAGTAGTCTCTCGCCCTTGCCCAAGGATCCATGTTGTACATCTCCATGTGCTCCAGTGTCTTGCGTTCGACGACTGTGCGCACTCACTCTGCTTTTCGTCCTGAAGCAGGCACCGCCTCGGCCACTCCAGATGCCATTGTCCGTCACCCACACTAATCATTGCATACCCTGACCACCCAAGTTATTCCCGCTCTTCTGGGAAGATGCTGACCTTGCCCAGACCGCTTCCGTATTCGCCGAGCTGACGGGTCCCATGCAACCCCTGCCCGTTACACACGGCCCTGGTCCATCATACATTATTCCTTAACTTCTCGACTTGGCTTCCGTGATATAGTTCAAAGCCATCCACCCATTCCACCTATTTCCTATACAATCCTGGGAGTAGCTGTTTTCCCTCTCTACTCATTCATCTTCACGTTTCACCGTGGCCACCGATAATCTTGGATGCAAGTTCCTCCATAACTCTGATTACCAACTTCGCCTGCACGCACTGCCTCGTTGAAACCCTACTCCTTCGACCTTCCCACCGAGCCCTCTCCTCAGTTCATCTCACTCCCTTTCACTTCTTCATAAAACAAACCCAAACCCCCACGTCCTGCCGCTCGATACACTGCTCTGGACAGGCACCACGCATACACCGCAACGTACTCCTCCCAGCTCCAAGACATATCAACATACCGAGTCTGCTGTTCACCTCTACAGCTGCGTCGCCTGACAAGTCACAAAGCCTGCTCGCGTCTTGATGATAGCACCCGCTTAGGCAATCAGTCCACCTATTCAATTCGTTGCGACTGTCCGAACCAGACCGTCACAATGGTCTTCTGTGCATACTGTGGGAAGTCCTTCACCAGGAAGGAACACCTGGAAAGGCATATTCCTAGCCGTACGTTCACCACCTCAAGAGCCTGGATTGAGATTCGGCCATGTTGACAGACACAGACACCAATGTCAAGCCTCATCGCTGCAGTGCTTGCCAGCTTTCCTTCGCCAGACGGTCAGTCATGTCCTGCGTCGATTCCCCACGAGATTTGTTTACTCACACTTCAGCAGAGACCTCCTCCAAAGACATCATTCGACATACCATGAAGCAAGAGACCCTATGGAACCCTTGCCCGGGGGTGTACCGACAGTGGCCGGCCGCACACCTATAGCTTGCCAAAATTGCGCAAACGCAAAGACCGGCTGCGACAAGAGAGTGCCCTGCTCACGCTGTGCAGAGAAGAATCTCCCTTGTGCTGCTAGGTTTGCGCGGAGATCGTCCAAGGCCGCTGTCAGGGCTGCACAAGCCAGCGCTGCCTTCCAACAACAGATGATGACCACCGTACCACAACCACCTCAACCAGCTCAGCCCGTGACCTTCATGGATCTCGACCCGTCCTTGCCCAAGCAGGAGTCTCCGGGCAAGGTGTCGGCGGGGTCGCCCATTGCAACAATGGACCCTCGTATGATGGAAGCGCCGATGAAGAAGAGCTCCCCGACACAGTCCCATCGCAGCTCAGACGATTTCCCGTCACCCCACAGCCGGGTCGACGGGCTCGACGAGTTTATGCAACTCAACAGCGACTTCATCACGCCCGATACAAACTACCAGGATATGATGGTCTGGCCCGAATATCCCATCGAGCTTGACATGTACTCCGGACAGTTGCCCATGTCGCGCCCGGATATGTCGATGCCCACTTTCCCGGAGCTGAGCGACATGTCATCGAGCTCGGCGTCAGAGCCCATGACTGCCTCTTCATCGCGCGGATCGATCCACACCCGAAGCACCAGCATAATGTCCTCTGCCGAGTTCGATGCTACGATGAAACCAACAGAGCCTACCCTGGGTATGCCGAGGGAGTCAACAATCCCAGAGTTTGAGGTTGTCATTGCCGCCGAGGACTCGTGGCCACTCGCCCGCTGCAACCCGCCAATCTACTCGGGCACCTGCCCACGAACAGCGATCGTCCATCTGGAGTGCCTGGAAAGGAAGTCCAAGGAGGATGGTACCTGGAGTTCACTGGAGAAATACCTGGAGAATGTCGACTGGGACACGACGGATGCTTCCGTTGTTCCCCTCACCTCGCGCACTCGTGACCGGATGCTGGCCATCACGCAGTCATTCCTGCAAAAGGCGCTGCGCATTCACAGGAGCGGATTGAACACCGGGTATTCCAAGACTGGCTATGCCACCCCCAGCGAGTTCAACTTCATCGTTCTTCCTCCCACCAAGATCCTCGAGTACTTCCTCCGCAGTTACGTTCGCAGCTTGCAGAACTACTACCCCCTCGTCGTCGCTGGGTGTGTCGATCCCAACGAGATGCTCCTCAACAACCAGGCCTCGACCCTGCTGCTTTTGTTGATGATCGCGCAAGGCGCCTCCGCCGTGCCCATGGCAGAGGCTCGGTACCTGGCAGCCGGCCTGACCGAGACGTGCCGCATCTCGCTCTTTGACATCATCGAGAAGGATGTCGAGTTGTCGGCTGACCCGGTGGCCTTGCGGTGCGCATTACTGTTCACTTTACAAGGTGCCTGGAGTGGTGACAAGTGGCTGATGGATATCGCCATGGGGCAAAGGGGAATGTACCTGTCGGTAAGCATTCACTATTTTCGGTACCTCTCATGAGGAATTCCACTAACGGGAAACAGATGCTGAAACATGCCGGCATGCTGGAGCCTCAACCGTCAATGATCCCGACCTTGAACAGCACAACGAGCAACGAGCTGCAATGGCGCGCGTGGCTGCACCGCGAGATGCAGAACAGGCTCGTCTACAACTGGGTCATGTGCGACCAAGAGCTCAGCTTGTTCCATGACACCCCCCCTCAACTGGCCATCACCGATCTGCAATGTCCTCTCCCCAGCCCCGAGGGACTCTGGCTGGCATCGAACTCGGAGCAGTGGTTTGCCAGCGTCCAGAGCCGCTACGGATGTACTGCCAACGTCAACCCACAGCTGCTTTCTAGCCCTTCCCTCACCCCTTCCCTCTGCGAGCTCTTCCAAGACTTCCTTCATGACAACCTCTCTCGTCGTCAAGCTGGCCTCTCTCCTCAGCAGCTTCGCCTTCTCCTCCACCCTTTGCAATCTCTTCTCTGCCACTTGAGACAGATGCTTTCCTGCTTCTCAGACGTTCTCTCCACCAGACGCGCGACCTCCCGGACCATCACGAAATCGAGCACCATGCTCCGCCTCGAGGAGGTTCAGGCCCTTCTCCAGAAGTGGTACGAGCTCACTATGTCGTTCTACAGGAGCAATCCTAGCTGCACGACCACGCGTTGCAACTTGGTCCTCTACCACCTCATTTCTCTCAACGCCGTCACCAACTTCCCCGAGATCGAGCGCCTCGCCCGCCGCGACGGTTTCGACGGCTCGTACTGGGAGCTGAGCCTGCGCCACAAGCGCTGCATCTACAACCGCGAGGAGGCAATATTCCACTCAGGCCAGGTGATGCGCCTTCTGCGCTCCATGCCCGCCGACCGCCGCCCGTGCTGGTGGCCTGCCGGTGTCTACCGCGCCACCCTCATCATCTGGGCCGACAGTGTCGCACGTCTTGACCCCAACTTCCAAAAGGCACAGGCACAGCAGACTTCCTCGCCCGCATCAAAGCACCGGAGCTCGAGCCCCGAGCACCTCAGCGGCGCCGGCGCCTCCAACGCCGCCACCAGCGGACAAAATGGCAGCGGCAACATCGTCGCCATCGATCAGGTCACACCCGAGGACCCGTCTGTGATTTCCTACCTTTGGAGCGGAGGTGACGGACTACCCGTGCTAACCCGCCGCGACGGTACCACTTTGGGCCTGGATAAGCCCGCCGATGTCATCAACTACGGCATCATGGCCATTGAAGAGGGCGTTACCTGCCGCGTCGGCGACGGCATCAGACGCAAGCTTGCCACCCTCAACAACAACTGGAACGTTGACGGCCTGGCTGCCGCCACTGGCTAAGGCTTTCTTCATTCCCATACACTCTTTTAATCACGGCAACTACGAAAAAAAAAAAACGCTTCTCTTCTTGCTCATGTTCTTATACGATTTGCATATATGACTCTTATCAATACCTTTTTCCTGGATAGCATTTGGGTCTTGTACAATCTTCTGGGTATCTTTGTTCGGCGTTTACGAGTCACGACACCCGTGGTCGGATCTCTGGGGGGGAAACACATGAAACCGGCAAGGTGCCTCTGCTCAAGCAAGCCCTTTTCCGCCACAATGGTAGCGGCATCCTCTTTCTATTGCAAGCATGGCAGCGAGGGGGTTTCCATTCCAGTACTTGCTTTCTCTTTCTCTCTCTCTCTCTTAGTTTATTAGATATGTGTATCAGATACCTGGGGTCCCCGTGTCATGACAAGGGAAAGGGCCATCGTTGCTATGCAGCAAAGTATTCAAACCTCAAAGGCATTTGCCAACATACACAAGCTTTTGACTTGATCCTATAAAAAGCAGATGCGCGCTTTCCGGTGGTTGTCTTCTTTGCTCGACGCCAAACGCTCTAAAAAAAGCCCAACTCCGTAGACTGTAAAGCAGGTTTTGATCAAGACCAAAATGCTTAGCAGCATTGGGTTCATGTCTTTTCTGATCTTGTGGGTGGGACGGCGTCGTCACATGGTACGATTGGCGACGAGGGGGAAAGGGGGGGAGGGAAACAAACCGCCAAAAGCAACGACAGCATGTGAAAAAAATGGCTAGATCAGGATACCAAGTCGCAAGCGATCCAGAGGGGAAGGGGAGGAGGGGGGTTGTCATAAAACTGCGTCTCTTCTTTTTTTTTTTCTTTTTTCATGTGAGAAACCATCTGAATGTCGCGTCTTGTTGCAGTCCCCGACAGACACGAATATAGAAACTACTCCCGAGGACAGGACGGGAAAGAAGGATGCCCCTGGGGTAGCCCTCGTGGAGCTCGAGCTGGGCTGGGCTGCCCAGCATTTCCCGTGGAGGGGGGAGCGTTGAGCCAGCTCTACTCAGGTACGTATGACCCAGCGGAGCGGCCAAAGTAAGCAAGACACCGGACGGAAATGGACAGCCGCGAAACTTGCGAGGTCTGCCAGACACACCGTTACACACGCGGTAGGGCAAGGGTGCTGGCATCGGCGATAGGCATCGATGCTGAGTACATGGGCTGGCTCAGCAGCCCCGCCATCACGATGAACGAACCCGGAAACAGTCGGTCGCGAAGGTGATTCCCCCTCCTCCCCTCTCCATGCCTAAAACATGGGTGCCGCGGCATGGGTTACCCGGTCATCATCATGCTGGTCCATCAATCGTCTCGATCACCTCTACCATTGATACGGGTGGTGGGAGGGGCAGTCGCGATTCGAATCTGGAGCTTAAAACGGGCGGGACTAACCACGACGCACAGCGTATAGAAACTCGAGGGTCGGTGGGAGAGTCTCTCTGCCTTGGCTTTCTCCGTCGGAGGACCAGTCATTGGACGGCACCGCCGTCTGGGTATGCGTTGTGACGCTACCCGGCGTCAGTGCAGCGAAGACGGTCGGTTCATGGTGGTGTCCTCTCCGGGGCCTTTCCCAGAGAAACGTGCAGGATGCGAAGAAGCCTTTTCGAGTTCGGACTCTTCGCCCTCCCCAACGACCGACCCGGCGGGGCAGTTGTCCATGGCTTCGAAGAGCGCGGGACGCGGGCAGAGGTGGTCTAGAAGGGAGACGGGGCGCGCCTCTGGTCGCACAGCCGGACGCAGGCCCCGCGATACGCCGTATCACCCGGGCATGCAACCCAACGCCGAGGGAAGCGTCTTGGTTGCACGACAGATGCCGCGGAACGGTAGAGAGGGAGGTACTTGTCCGAATCCCTGAGGCCGCTCCGAGCGAGGGGGGGAGGGGGATACAGTGGGATGGGCCAAGATAACGAGAGGCCCACGTGTTTCACGAGAAATAATACGGATCCGAATTCGAATCCAGAGGAGCAGAGCGGAACGTATTCGTGTTTGCCATTGAGTTTTGAGATGGGTCCACAATCAGTCATTGGGCTGAGCCGTTCGCATGTTCTCGCCGGGGGAGAGATGCACTGACGCAGTATCCAGTCAACCGCCGAGCAGAAAGCCGGGGCACCCTATCCGCCGTTGCGCGCAATAGGGTTTTTGTTAATTTTCCGTGACAGACACTACGTGTTTTGACAGTCCTCTTTTGGTGTCAGGGCGCGGTGGACACTAGCGAATAGAGAGGGGGATGACTTTGTCAGTCGGGCTTGGCTTCGTCAAAGGACATCAGCCCAGAAACCCGGTCCCCTGTTACGGAGCAGCCCTCCGAGCCCTTGATCCATGGACGCGGAATCCAAAATGGGCTTCAAAGCTCCGCTGATTGGGAGGTGTGACCGTTTGCGGGAGGAGCGGGAGGAGCGGGAGGGGCGGGATTGGGGGGGAATGGGGGTGGGAGGCGGGGAGAAGCCCCCCTGTTCCTCGAAAGGACTGGGTGTTTGGCTTTACAGATCCGTACACAGGAGTCGCCGGGAGGGTGTGGTCGACCGGGCCCGCGCCTTGCCGATCTGTGAGGAGCAACCGATGTCATAATTACCAATAAACGGACGATGCTCTGGGGAAAACCTCCCCTCCATCTCCTCGTCGGCGAAGGCAAATTGCCAAGAACTCCCACGCCGAGGTGGTGGGGGCGTACGAGGCGAACGGCCCTGTTGCACCTTTCAGACATGACAAGGTGTGGGACACATGTTGCCTCCCCGAGGCGTGTTCGTAGCTCGTTGTCCTCTATCCAACAGACTTACACGCCGAAATCAACGGGAAAGCAAGAGCCTTGTGACTTTCGCGAGTGCGAGCGGTTCGTGCGATGTCGGTTCGTCTAACCGACTATGACCGTGGCAGCAGGTAGCGAAAGCAGCAATAGGCCATGCTTTGAGCAGTGTCTGTCGAGCACATGGTGGGTTCGCCGTGCCGTCTGTTGGATACTTGGTCCAACATGCAGCCAAGGCCTGCGAATAGCCTCCGATAGCGAACTTGACCATTCTGTAGAAAGGGAAACCATACAGCGGCCCAAGACTGCTAACCGGCCGCGTCCCCCAACGAGTGTTGACAACGACCGCTGCCTTGGCAGATAATCAGACCGATGTGTACGGTGTGGAACATGTTCTGGCAGAAACGTTGAAGGAAAGTGACTTGGGTCGTTATGTTATAGTTTCGTGTGGTATGACCATCGGAACCATTTATGGGCTCCTCAGCACATGTTTCGTCACCGACATGGCGGTACGGTTGGTGCGTGCAAAGCGAGAGTTCTCAACATTCCCTTGTTCGGCAGTCTTTAGGAACGGTGGCAGTGCACCCTCAAAGCGAACCAGTTTTTTTGCGATTCATCACAGATCCATCTCTGGCAGCGAACGCCATTGTCTGATGAAAGCCAAGACGTGTAATGTTCTTTCAGGTCGAAGCATTGACGACTTGTCTGACCGATGACAAGCATCGCCTCGCCCTCCAAGACGCATCTGACCTGGTACATGTGCTGGGCGGCTATCAGTAGCCAATTGTAGCCAATGTCGAGCAGAGCAGCGATTTGATGCCCTGGGCCGCATTGGCTGAAACCGGGATCCTCTGATCATATGGCGCCGGTTTAAACCCCAACACCCGAGCTGGCAAACGTCAGTCGAGGCCCTTGAACACGCGGACCGCGGCTGCGCTCGGTAAACCATCCAGACATTGAGCATCTGAAGCCGAAGGCATGAGTCCCTGGACTGCATGGAGGCAGATTCTAGACCTACGGTTGTCCCGAAACTACGGGCCATCGCACGTCGCGTGTCGATCAGATTCGAGCCTGCATCCGCGGGCCGGCGCGCTCGAGGAACACTAGCGTGCGGGCCCAGTATACTGTGCTAGGTGACAAGGACGGCACGACGGTCTCACGTCTCGCTTTTCCAGAGCCGCTACTCGGTGTGTTCGGTTTTCATCGTCTTTGGAAGCTGGAGAACGTGACATGCCGAAGACGCGACGCGAATGATATCCGAAGCCGAAGAGTACCATCGGTGGTTGGAGGTTTGTGACCTGAGGCACATATCATTTCGTGGTAGATGAGGCGGGAAAATGAAGGACAGTTTCATTATGCCCATCTCTCCGATGCATACAGAGTGTTCAGAAGCAGGTTGATCTTGCTTTAGATACCTATGATGGAGGGTTTTCTGGCTGCCGCGAGTCATTTGTCCCGTGACCGTTGCTATCACGTAGGAATCGGCGGAAAACTTCGAGGTGCACAGAGAGGGCTAACGGCGAACAAGTTCCAATACCAGACAGCGGGTCAATCGATGTTGCTGCAGTGTCATTATATAGAAATCCCCATGCGAGTTGCTCACCGGCGTCTGGAATGATGGAGGAGAACCTCGACCGCCAGTTCTAAGCCGAAGGGCAATTTGCGTGATTCGCCCGCAGCCTTGGGCCTTCGCTGCACATTGCAGCAAGTCGAAGCCAGCTTCCGTTACCCCAAGCAGTCAACTTGATCGGGTATATCGTCAAATGTCAGGCACGTACCATGGGCGACGAGCGGGCAAATGCCAACCCTGCCCCGGTCCAGCATGGTTGACACTGACGCTATTCGCCGCCTATTACGGAGTATGAGTATGGGTGGTCCCTTCCCCGGATTCTCGGTGACCGTTCCGGATAATCAGTTATTTCTTTCCGTCACGGTCACTGAATTGCTGACTCATCATCCATATGCCAGTTTAGGTAGACTCCTTGGCAGAATTCCTTCTTTCACTGCTGCTCTCCTCTCCCAGTAACCACGCCAAGCCGACGGTCTTCCTCGACAAACACTCGGGACTTCGCGTTTATGACCCTCGACGCGACCGAAGATCGGCAGCCTTTACCAGAACCACATCCAGTTTCACGGACAATCGCTTCCATCATGAGAGTGCGCCGAGGGAAGCAGAAGGGGACCAGATGGACCCCGACTTGACTTGACTGGCCGGACCTCCGTTGGGGGTGGGGCGTGTGATCCATCCAAGGCGGTGCCCAGGTTCGAGCACCGGTTCCTGGCGCCACGCGACTGCCCTGGCATTGATATGCTCTGCTGACTGGGCTCAGTCACAACGCTACTGCCAGCCTAGTCGCCACATCGCTATTGTTCGGGCTCAGTCGATTGGCTTACCATACGTGCGAGTGCTATGGCAACCAGAGAACGAGTCAAAACCATGCAGGAACTAGAGCATGAACAAAGAAAATAAACACACAGAACAGAACTCATATCGAACATGGCTTGCAGCTGATAGATGATCAGGGGGCAGATCTCCACGACGCCATCCTCCCCTACCCACCTGTGACAGGCCTATGTCTCCAAACCTCCGGCGATCGACTCCGGGGAACAGTTTCCCCCGAACCAGGCGTCTTCGGCGGCCTACTCCTGCCCAAATCAGCAATCGTCGAGGACCAATACAGAGCATCCATTAAAAACAAAAAACCGAGTGTGATCCAGGCCTCGTTGGATTCGCAACGTCAGGTTCCCGAAATCGTTGCCTCACACGACTAACAAAGGCACAATCCCGACTGTTTTGCTACCCAAGCCTGGCTAAACCTCCCCCCTTCTGTGGCGTCTGGTCTGAAGACGACGGACTCAGCATCCTTTGCAGTCCTTTCGCAAGAAGCGCACGGGGGCGCCCATGCGTGGGCCTCCTCCATTCCCGTTTGTCTCCTAGTGTCGCATCCTGCTTTCCTCAATGGCACCCCCGGACCCGGATCCTAGCTCAATCCACCCCCAAATGCAAGGCGCCTCGCTACTCGGCGGAGGTGCGGCGGCGGGCGACCGGGCGGACATGCGTTCGGAGCTTCGCCTTTTGCCCATACAAAGCGTCGACTGAACGATGCCAACCAATCCGTATATAACTTCCTCGTCTCAACCGCCCATCCCAGTCCTCCTCTTGCCTTCATCCTCACCTCACTCACCTCTTCCATTCTCTCAGCCACAGTCTCTTCACTATGGCTCCCGCAGCGACTGATAACGCCGCTGCCCAGCAGTCCGCTGGGTACGACGCGGCCCGCCCCTTCGTCGGCAAGGTCGCCCTCATCACCGGCTCCGGCCGTGGTATCGGCCGCGGCATCGCCATCGAGCTCGGCAGGCGCGGCGCCAACGTCGTCGTCAACTACGCCTCGTCCGCTAAAGCTGCCGAGGAGGTCGTCGCCGAGATCGAGAAGCTCGGTGCCAAGGCCGTCGCCTACAAGGCCGACATCAGCAAGCCCGCCGAGGTTGTCGACCTCTTCGACCGCGCCGTTGCCCACTTCGGCCGCATGGACTTCGTCATTTCCAACTCGGGCAAGGAGGTTTGGTGCCCCGAGGAGGAGGTCACCGAAGAGCTCTTCCAGAACATCTTCGACCTCAACACCCGCGGCCAGTTCTTCGTTGCCCAGCAGGGCCTGAAGCACTGCTCTCGCGGCGGCCGCGTCATCCTGACCTCCTCCATCGCTGCCCAGATGGGCGGTATCCCCAACCACGCCCTGTACGCCGGCTCCAAGGCCGCCGTCGAGGGCTTCACCCGCGCCTTCGCCGTCGACTGCGGCGCCAAGGGCGTCACTGTCAACGCCATCGCCCCCGGCGGTGTCAAGACCGACATGTTCGACGAGAACGCGTGGCACTACGTCCCCAACGGCTACAAGGGCATGCCCATGGAGATCATCGACCAGGGCCTCGCCAACCTGAACCCCCTCAAGCGCGTCGGCGTTCCTGCCGATGTTGGCAAGGTCGTCGCCTCTCTCTGCCACCCTGACTGCGAGTGGATCAACGGTAAGTCGTCGTCCATGGAAAGCTGTGTCTGCAGTGTTCGCTTGCTAACTCCCCCAACAGGCCAGGTCATCAAGGTCACTGGCGGTGGCACATAAGTGCAGTAATGTTCAACTCGTCCGCAGCCTCGTTCACACGGGGTTGCCATCATGACGCCTTAATGCATCGGATCGCAAAGCGGGCTGGACGCTTGCGATTCCCGGGTCTGGGTCTGGTCGGTAATATGGGGGCTTCAGATGATGGGACTTACATAACAAACACATCTCGGAAAGGCGTATGTAGACATCATGAATCAATCAAAACCTTGACTGGAAAACTCGTTCGCATCTTCACACCCCGACGACAGTGGAACGGCGTGGTTCATCCTTGCCCTTGCTTGGCCCGATAATAGTCCACAGTTAGACGGCTTGACATCGCACTTCACGTTATCACTAAACAAATAAGTCCCGCAGCGAGCGGCAACTGGGCCCTAAGGGCGTTCAGATACGGTGAAATCTGGTAACGGAACTCTCCAAAAACGGCGAAAAGATCCGGGCCAAATACCACGGCCAAACGTTGTCAGACTGGACGATTCGGGAGGGCTGCCAACACAACGGTCTAGAACTAGGACGGCAGACACGCAACACACACACACGCGCGCAGGCGGCTGTGGCGGCGGGTTTGCATTAGACCCCCTCGTTTTCCTCACCGGCTCCATGGCGTGCGTGTCCGCTCCCGTTCCCGCCTCACGTCGGTCCAGGTCCGGTCGTCAGCACAGCCATACAATAATCAATCAAGATAAGAGGTTAAGATAGGAGGGAAGGGGGTGGGGGAGGCCCTTCCCCTCCCCAGACCGCTCGAGATCTCCTCCGCCTTTTGGTAATCTGCAAAAGTGTCGAGTGCTACGTCGTCGATGTATGCGGTGAGACGCGCAAAAAAAAAAGATCCCGATCCGACTTCTCCCTCTCTCCGCGCGCCAAGGGCCGGCGGCAACCTTTGGGAGGTCTGGCGGGGTTCTGTCGTGAATTGTAGGAAACGGCCGAGTCTGCTGCGGCCGGGGAGAGCGGGCGCGTTACGCGCACGGCGGCGGTTCAGCCCAGGAAGCCAGATACGACGACACCGCAATCATGTCAAAGCGTAAAAAAATAAAAGTAAAAATAAATGGATCACCAGTTTGTCCCATCATCCTCGTAGGATGCAGGTTGAAATGCAAACCCCAACCGCCCCCCGCTCCCCCGGGATGCCCCGAAATCGTACTGACGACAGACAGGGAAAGCGGAAAGGTGACGGGTACTCGGAACGTTAGATTGGCGAAGGAGCCAGCAGTGCAGCGTACAATAGCTGGGTTTCACTCTGCCTACGAATCGGCGCGATGGAAGCCTAAACGAAGGGAAAAGAAAAAAACACTAAAAAAGCTCCGCCGGCGCTTACACCGACCCAGCATCGTACCAGGAGGCATGATTCTCGTGCTTTACGAGCCTATGGGAGGCTGTGGGCGCCGCGCAACGGCGGATCTGTCCTGTCAGACTCGTACCATACTTCCCTGGCTGACGGTACGCCGGCACTAGGGAAAGGAATTCGGACTCCTGAGCCCTTCCTCCCAAAGACTCTAATCCGACCGACGCGGCCGTCGTGGAACACTCCTCTCGCATTGGGATGCTGCCCAACGTGACAGACGGTGGGCAGGTAAAAGAGACGATAGGAGTAGCAGCGCCACTGCATCCGGTCCTCCGGCCCAAGTTCGGATTCTGCCGAATGGGGATTGACGATCGGGGGCGGAGCGGCCTCCGATGTTGTCCTGTTATCCTGGAGTCCGGTATGAGTGGGTACCGCACCGCGCCCGAGTGGATCTCAGCCGATGTCGTGACCCCACACCCCCATAACGGCCCGGCATACAATACAAAAATACACGTGTATCTACGTACCGTGATGGTGCCAATTTAGGAAACGCTAAAGTGCCACGAACCCTGGTTGGTTGCTTTTGGAGCAGGAACGGGCGCAGGGACATGAACGCAGCTTCCTTTGGTACGGCGTTGGGGAAATCGATCAGGAAGAGTCAATCCCAATTGCCTACTCAGCCTGTTGTGTTTCGTTTTGCGTGGAATACGCAACTTCTGCATGTTTTGCCTGCTCACATGATTATAGGTTGTTGCGATCGCCGCCTGCAACACGAACCCGACATCGGCAACCGGGGAGGAGGGCAGGGGGCGGGAGCAGGGGCAGGGGCAATGCTCCTTGTCAGCCTTGTACGAAGTGGCACCGTTGAGCCAGCATGCAACGCCGTTTCTGTCCTATTCGCCGCTGGTCTTACACAATTCGGTTGTACCGGTTGTTTTTTGTTTAGAGTTTTCCCCCCTCGATAGGTGGTCAAATTGACCATAGACAAGCAACCGTTATCCCCAGAGCTGCTGGCCTCTAGCAGCCAACATCGACCGAGAATCACGCCCAATGCTGTCAACCAAGCGGGTATCTGGTTGCCTGCCCCTGCTTCTTTGTCGTGACGTGGGCCTAGACGCATCGTCATCTGCTAATGCCATGATACTCTGACATGCATGCATACGCCCCCCCCCCCCCCTCCCCCAAGCTCCTGGTCTGGTGTAAGATGCCGCAAGATACGAACTGAAAAAGATAATTAGCAACGTATAACAAGGCCATTGATAACAACGAAGAGATCAAATGGCGTCAGTATGATATTTGCTTTCCAGCAATGCCATTAAGGACGGAGTGCCAGCAAAGTCGCTGCTTCAGTCATGGAGCTGCACAAGCAGTGATCAAGGAGATTCCCGTTACGTAACAAGCCGGTTTGCTATCCACGAACTTGGGTCAACAACTGAGACGCTAGACCGTACGAAGCCAGATCATCTCGGCCAAGGGAAGTAGCGGGACGATGCCCAAAAGCCACAAGTCATCATCCACAGGCTGCTTGCGGGTGCAGAGGACCATGCGAAGTCTTGTGTTGGGAAACGTTACTACAAGGCAAATAGAGGTACCAGAAAACAAGCGAAATGTAGATTGCAGAAGGACTTGCATCAGCACCTCGAATGGAAAAACCAGAAGTATCTCGTCAGCATCATCACGCTGTATCAACCCCCATCAACAGGATCAATAGCCAAGGCTGATTGCCAAAAGTCTCGGGCAGTTCGGGCACGTTCTGGGCGGAGCCAAGACGTGACCCTCTCACCTGGCTGACTTCAGCTGGTGGGAAGCAGGCCTCGGTGAACATCATGTCGTGGCTGATGGTTCAGCATAAACCTCAGAGCCAATGATGTCGCGTGTTTGAGCCGGGCTACTCCTGGCTGAAGAAAGCCACAAAGGCAGTATTAGATGCAGAGCCTCTTTTCGGGCGGGACTATGAGGTGGTGTGATGAGCGGTATCATGATTGGCTGTGACTGAATGGATAGGAGTCGATGGAAGAGATACATATCAGCTTCGCTACCGTAGATGCCATCGTGCAGCGTGTGGAAAAGTCGGAGGGCGGGGAGTAAGCAATGCGCAGTTGCGGATACCAAAGCAAAAACAACGCATTATCAGGAGGGGAAAAGACACAATCTGAGACCAACCCAAGTGATGATAAGAAGCATGAGGTTACACAAGCGCCGTCCACGAACCCTACTTGCCCGATACACCCCGTTGGGAGAAGAAATTAGACAGAGCCACAGACCCACACGAGGTTCTCTCGAATAGCATTTTGGGCATGGCGATAATGCCGATTTCAGAGGGCCTTGGACAGGCCGAGACGACAACATGGGGAACCTTGCCCCACGTCACCTTGCTGATTGCCGATCTTGCAAGTGTTTTATTGTTGCGGGGTGGAGTGGGCTGGTTCGGGACCGACCGCTCACAAAAGGGAGGACTGGTTATGATGCAGGCCACTTGGCACCTCTCCACATGCAGAACTGAGAGAGCGCCATCATTGCATTCTCCAAGGGGGGGGGGGGGGGCGTGATTGCCCCGGGATTAACAGCAGTTGCGTGTCAAGAGACGGCGGCCAAAACAGCTGGTGTGTATCCGTACCAGCCAAGTGCAAACCATCCGCACTTGATAGGGTGCAGTCCGAGGTTTGAATCTGGAGGTTGTGTGGCTGACAGGTTCTTGTTGACCCTGGTGGCGGATGCGGTGATGTGCCGACGCGGCTTCACGGACGGCTCCCAATTCGTGAGGGTTCGGGGGAATGAAGCAGAAGCTAGCTGACTGCAGAAGACATTCCAGTTCCCCGACTCGAGGCAGTGAGATGATGGTGTCAGCCGAGTCGAATCGGATGTGCCCGTAGGGCGATAAGCGTGCCTCGGTCGGTCCAGGTCCAAGAGAGGGCTGATAGCGAAGATACGAATGAGGGTAAGACTGAGAATGAGGTGCTGAGGGTGGTGCGGGATGGACGACTTGGTGCCAATTCACCTCCCTCCATCATGAGGTTCCTACTCGTCGATAGTTTAAGCATAGGAGGAAAGAGAGGGGGGCTTACCTTCCCAAGGTACATGGATGCCTAGTACTACGTATGACTAAGCCCCTTCGGGTATCCCTGATCGTGAGGCGCTCAACGTCCGCCCTTCACCTATCACTTTGTATATCCCCTCCAAGTCTCCAAGTCTCCTCATCATCGTCATCGACAAAAGATCAAAACAATAGCAACACCACTGCGTAACCTCTTGGCCAATCGATTCTGACCACTGTCAGTACGGGTTCTCCGACCACACTTGCTAAGACCATCTCTGAAGCTTCCAAAAAAGCCCCGGTCAGTCACCCTCTCCACCCTCGTTTGCCTTCAACCACGCAATCTGTCTTGGCGTATCGACTGTAGACCCTGGCTGATTCGACTTACGCAGGGCGGCCAGACCAATATATTGATGCATGCGGGTGGCGCAAACTGCCATCACCTTACACGACTCTCTTCAAACTTTGCCCCGTTGCCCTTGAGAATATCCTGGCCTTCATCCATTTTCGACACCTGTGACGAATGGAACACCGTGCATCGTATTCAAGCCGATTTCAACGAGCAAAACAGGCACGCACATTGCCTTGTGTTTCCTGCCCAACGCTCAATGTCGCAGCCGTTGGCGCCACAGACGTCAGACCCTGCACTGTCTGAGCAGATTTGGATTCGAGTAACCGAGGCAAGGCCCTGCTTCGGGGAGGTAATGTCAGGATGTCCTTGCCCCCCAAATGCATCTTGCTGCACTTGCCCGTTATCAGACAGACAGCGGATGATCCCCGCCTCTTGGAGTTCGCCCGTGCTACCTACAGCTGTCCCTTGTGACTCGGAGATGCGTGTGTTTCGGGAGGCCTATCCGTACTTGCGACTTTTCAATCAGATGCTCAGCGGATATGCTGGTTACCACAAGAATCCACGCGGTGGGTTGGACATTTTCGGGGAGGTTCCCAGCGGAGGCCAGAAACAGGACCAGGACACCAAAGTAGCAAGCTTCAGCTTTTTCTCCCCTCCCCTTCGACGTCCTGCGCTTGGATGTCGTTAAATTACCTCAGAAACGGGCCAATCGATGGTCATGCGCCCTGAGCTCTCAAATATGAAGCAAGCCAAGGGTTGCGGGAAGCTGCTTCATCGACAAGCACTTCCGCATCGACATGATGCTGGTCTGTCTGCCGTTGGTAAGTGGAGAAGGCTATCAGGCTCGAGACGAACGCGTGGTCAGTTGGGGGCAGCGGCTCGCGGCATCATGTTTCAGTTGAAGATGGCGGATCTCTGCATTAGAGACGTGCTTGAAGCGCAACGACCAACCGTTCGCTAGTTTCTCCAGGGAGTCCAAGGATATTGCCTCTTTTGGCGCAGCTTGGTTCTCAAGCTCAGTCTTGGCCTCATACGAAAGCAAGTCGCTACCAGACCCCTGGCATCTCACACCCGCAGAGATCATTTCACGACCCAGACTGCGAATGTCTGTGAGGCGTTCCGATGATCGTGGAACGCCACATCTCATCGAAACGACTTTTCACGTGAAGATGCGGTCTTTCATGGTTCTTTACGTGAACTATACACCGCATCAGTGGGTCCTCTCACCCGACCCTCGATTAGCCCATTTGAACCTGCAAGGAAACTCTTCTTTAAAATTTGTATATGGAGAGGAGATATGCGGAGGCTGAGAAGTAGCGGTTAGTTGTTCCAATAGGCCAGAAGGTGACCGAATGTGAGCGACGTCACTGCCGCTACCCGGTGGGCGACACTAGCAAGCTATAGATGCATTTTGCCTTGAATAAGCAGTGCTCCCCAATATGTGACATAGAACACTCCCCTGAATGGTCAAAGACCCCCCCCCCCCCCCCCCCCCGCCGGCTCAGAATAGGGTCTCTCAGTCAACATGCTCCTCCGCCAGTTGGAGTGCAAGCTCCATCTTGCATTGGTTCGAGCAATAGTACCATGTTCTGTCTTACCGAATCCATCAGTCTCCGAGGCATGAATCATGACCTCCGAGCCGGCGAGCTGAAACCGCTGTTTATCAGAGTTTCTGCGGCACGATGACATCCGACATAGTAGTTCAACAGTTTGCGTGTTGTCCAAAGAGAACTAAGAGCTCTCTAGACACGCAACACTTCGGGAATGCTTTCCGATCAAGGCTTGTTCAATATACTTCCCCTTGTTCCTCTTTGACCTCTTCTGGTATTCGCTTTGTTCCCTTTGCTTCCGAGCATTCTGCAGAGAGAGGCCGCGTTCTGGGATGAAAAAACTAATAAACCTCAATACTGCATGGCAGACGACGCTCTTCGAGGCACGTAAGAGCTTGGGCCTTGAGATCTAACCACTCCTCCTCAGGTACGTGTACTGCGCCGTTGCCTCACACCATGCAGGCCAGAACTGGATACTCTCATCGTCGCCGTCCGTGCTCTCGTCTTACATCTTTCCGGCCTGCCATGCCGAACACTAAGCGGGTATATCACGAGATGACAAACATCGGAGGTTGGCCCGTACCACTCTACGTCCGCACCCATCTTCTTATCTCCCCGCTCCTTGGTTCTCGGTAAGTACATCGAGTTGACCACAATTTGTCCGAGACCTCGGCCTCAAGATACGTGTACACAACCTTCACACACACCCTCTATCCTTACCAAGGGCTTGTAATTGGGTCCAACATGCCATTGCAATGCCAGCGGCTCTAGCGGTGGTAGGACTGGACTCTTGTCCGGAAGCGCGAGTCGCCAATGGGATCATTGTGGCATCCCACCTTGGAGCTAGACTGACTCAAACAAAACACTAGATAGGCTTGTCTGTGATAGGCTTCCACTGCGTCGAAAGTTGACCCTGCGTCGGGGAATATTCTCCCACCCGAGTCCTCGTTCCCGTTTGTGCGCTGGCTTTCGTAGCCCGCCCAAAGCCTTCTGGGGCCCTCACGGCGGCTTGCATATTTAGAAACATCCATAGCCTAACTCCGATCTGACCTCATCGGATCGAACGATCAAACGGATGCCGCGCACGCATGGGATAAGCCCCCAAAAGCCTTCAAGTCCTCCCCGGACATCTCCAAACCGTCCGTGCCATGAGAAGGAGGGCGGGAGATCTCGTCACGTCAGCCACAGATCACAAGCTACAGGAGACATGACGGTACACACAGGCGCGAAGAAAGACGTGAGGCAAAGTGCGAGTCAAAGAAGCGGAAGGGACGGGAAGGAAGCGCAGGAAGAGGCGCAGAGCAAACCTATTCCGAGAGAAGGAGCCGCTGGACGCGAATGAGCACACGGGTTGGACGGGGAGTGAGTGGACGGTCAAGGTGAGTAAGGGCCTAGTTACTAGTTAGCAAGCAAGGTGAGGGGGAGGTGAGAGAATTAGAGAGAAAGAGAGATGGGGGGCGTCCGCCTGCGGTGCCAGGGGAGGGTGACCATCGGCCACAGTGCCGACAGTCAGCTGGGGGGGTAATCTCGAATGGCCCCACTCGGCAAGGCTAATGCAACATCCTCGACAAGAGGCTAAGTAACCACATTGACAAAATCGCACGTGGGAGAAACGAGTTTCTCGTGTCACCCAACCTCCCCTCCATGCTCCATTCTCCATCTTTGCATAACTGTAGGATTTTTTGGGTTTTTTTTTTTAATTCTTATTCTTCTGTTCGAGCCCTCTAGTGGAGGGGGGGGGGGGGGAGAACGCTGTCTCGTCCCAACGCTTGATACTACTGACAACCAGTCCGGAACGGGATGAGGAGAGAAAGAGAGAGAGAGAGAGAGACAAGGGGAGAAAAGACCGGTTTCCCCTCGGCCAGGTAGGTCTTAACGCAGGGAACATCAAATGATTGAGGCTGCGACAGAGCTCCGAACACAGGTTTTGATACTGCATGTAAATGACATGTTCATGACATGTTCATGACAAGTCGAGTTGCAGGGCGCGCTCCTGCATGGGCACGATGATGACACTATCCATTGGCTATTCCTCGGTAGACACGGTGCCGATACAACCCAACAGCCTCTCTCTCTCTCTCGCTCGCTCGCTCTCGCCTCCGTCAGGCCCGGTTGTCATTGGCCCTGGCGTCCTCGAGCTCGGTCCTTTGCCTCCTCCTTCTTCGCCTTCATCCGAAGTGTCGAGGCGGCTGATGATGAACGGCACAATACAGCCAAGCTCCTTCCGATGAACCCAGCCCTCTGCCATATATGACTCGCTGACTATTGAATCAAGTGAAGGGGGAACAATACCAAAAGGGTTGCACTAAAGTTTTGCTTTCCAATTGAATGAGGGGGTAGAATAAAAATAAACCGGTTCTGAACTGCCCGCTAGATTTTCGCTACCCTACGTGTCCAGCAACTCTATTCCTGTCTTCCAGCTGATTTCCCGTAGTGGGTGACTTTGACAAAGTATGTGTGTGTGTGTGCATCTCAAGAAAAGATCCGGGAGAAATAAAGAAGAGAAAATAAGTAAACCGACAAAAAAGAAGAAGAAAAAAGCCCTCTGATTTCGCCAGCACGCCAGGTTTTACAAGGTTCATCCACCACCGAACAATGTAAAGTCCAATATAAAAAAGCACAAAAATGAGTATCCAATTACCCAGTGTTCTCCCCGACCCGAACCCCCTACCTGGCCCTAGATAACTACCTAGGTAGTACTCCATGAAACAAAATCAATCCGGCAGTGGTGAATGCTCCTATCGGTCATGTCGACAGCGCACTTTTTGCTTCAGCGCTCTATGTAAATTCGGCCCAGAATTTTTGTACGTCCTTTTGGCGTGATCCTTTTCCGTTGGTTTATTTTGAGAAGGGGGGGGGGGTTCCCGCTTCTTGTTTGGTTGTGGTGTGACTAAGCATAGCTCATGTCTCCTTTACGATGGCTGACGACCTCGAGTGTTGTGCCAAGGCTGTGGCCGAGATAGCCAATCATGGCTTTGCTGACTTCAGCATCGTCAGAGAGTTCGGAGCAGACCTCGCGGAACTGCGCGTAGACTTCCTCCAGCTTGCGAAGCTCCCGGTTCAGGATCTCGAGCTCGAGCCACCTACCATCCTCACCACCAAGAGTGTACGCACCGAGGCTTACACCTAGGCCGCCCCCAGGGCTCAGCTGGTTGACCTGGGGCACCATGCCGTTCTCGAAGTAGGTGTGGCTGGCATTCCTGTAGAAGCTCGTGATCTTGCCGATGACGGTGGCCAAGAGCATGGCGGCAGTGTGAGTGCCCGAGCGGCTCATGCATCTGTTGCAAGACAACATGGCGGCGCATCCCTCAACAGCCTTGCGGTTGAGGGAGAGCACAAGGTCGAAGGGTGGCGCTTGCGGGGATGAGGCATTGTGCAGGGCCTGGAGTGACTGCAGGCAGACGGTGAAGCAAGTGCAAGAACCGCCGCCTGAGGATGACGAAGACTTATGTCTGACGGCCGGGCGCATATTGGGCGTGGCGGAAGGGCTCGGGAAGTAGGCTGCTGCGGCCATGTTGCTCGTCGTCGGCATCGCTGCGTATGGCATCATATCGTGCTGCGTTGGGTCTCCCCAGTGAGTCATTTGAGCTGCCATGGCCATATCCATGGACTGAGAGCGTCCGTGTTGAGAGTTCATGTGTGCGGTAGCCATCGTCATGTCGGGGTACGGCGCTGCAGAAAAGTCTGTAGGAGGAGTCCAAGGCATGCCTCCACCGTACATGTCTGCTGCCGGATCTTGGTCTCTGGGGGTTGTGTCGTCGACGCCAAGCATGGCAAGCCCGGAAGATATGGACGGATTTCTGCTCATGGCACCCTCCATGCTTGTGGGGGTATGCCAGCCAGGTTCCATCTTGTACATGCCGGGGTGCTGGCCGAACATGAGGTTCTTCTCGTCCATGATGGGGGACAGGTCGGTCATGTCCATGTGGACAGTGTTGGCGTGGCTCGGTGCGCTGTGATCAGATTTTGGTTTGCCGGCTCTGCTCGAGGGAGAATAGCGACATTCGAGGCCGCACGCCAGGCATCGGGAGCAGATGGGCCTTGCTTTGGAGCATTTGACCTTGGCCAAAAAGCAACCATCGCAAGAAGCCCGGAGTCGGGGCTGTCGAGGCTTGGAGTTGGAAGACATTGTTGACTATGAAGAATCTCTGGAGCTTGTGAGGTGTTGCTCTGGAAAGAATAGAGGATATCCTGATCTAATGAAGAAGCACGAGTCCGGAGAGCGTGGTAATGGTGGAGGGGAAAAGCCACTATTAAAGAATTGGGCAAAGGCGGGATATATTAGAGTTCTCGACGTGGTAAGAGTGAGATGTCTGTGTGACGATGGAATGCGAGGACGTATAGGGCGAAAGAGGATTAGCAAGCTCCTAGGCTTCTTGTGAGAGGGCGATGAGGATCAGGAGGGCTCCGAGGGCGGCCAGGTATCGAGGTTTAGGGCGAGATTGAGCGGAATATAGCCGACTGCAAGGTAGACAGCTGGGAGAGGAAATGGGATTACGAAACAGGAACGGAAACGGTCACGGCCATTACCCAGTGTCCAAGAGGGACGAGCATGGAGTAGAAGTCCGGGTGTTTCTGTAGGAAGGGACGAGGGATGGAAGCTTGTGAGAGCGAGGAGCATGCGACGTGGATGAAAGGGAGCGGACGATGAACGGTTAAAAAAGCGAAGGCCTGATTTAGATATGCTATGCCGTTGGCTTATACACGCTACCCCATCCATGTACATGGTGGCTGTGACTCTGATAGAGGGCGTGGACGGATTGACCAAGGTATTCTTGGGTGGCCCACTGTGGAGGGAGCAGAGAGAAACACAGGTAGTGGGTGAATGGGAGAAAGAGACAAACACACACTCGGAGAGAGAGAGAGAGAGAGGCTCGCCTAGGGTGAGGTGTGCATGTATGTACGAAAGCTACTAGTGCGAGTGAGAGTGTGTGGTAAGAAAAGGGCAGCAGACGGGGGTCGTAAAGCGAAGGGAAAAAGAAAACGGACCATGCAAACGGCTAGCTGGTACATTTGCACTGATTCATTGGCGTGTTGGACATGGGCTCGTCCACGCGCGCAGATACCCTTGGTAGTAGAGGGCAATTGACATTGGACCAGTCTCTCCTGTGCGTGCTGGAGCTTGCTCGACCGCTTGGACGAGGTGACCTGACCGGGGAGATGGAGGATTCGGCAGCAGGCCGACAGCTCAGCACGGGGCGAAACAGAAAAGACGATGCCAAACCAGGCCAAGCTGAGGCATGGGTAAGACGGTTTGGGTTGGATGAAGGGCTGTCTGGGCATGCAGGTAACATAGATGACATCTATCTGGGTCGGTGTAGAGAAAAGAGGGGAGCTGTGAAGCCATTCACATGGGTGTTGGGGGATATGATAGGCCTTGCATTTGCCCCTCCTGGGTTCCCCAGCTTCCCCATGGGCATACGGCGACGAAAGTCGGGCTGTCGGCAGTCGATTCGAACGAGGCCCCCATGTCAAGGCCCAGCCAGGCAGACCCTGAATTCAAAAGAGATGGGTGAACAGACAACGGGTGTTGTAGTCGCCCATTGGATGGCGGGACAACCAGAGCGGGAGGGAGCAGGTTAGAAGAAGAGGGCAGCGTGTGTTGGTTCATGGCGTGGGCAGAACCCAGAGGTTGCTCTGTGCTCTGCTGCATTGTGCAGTGCGGTGGGATGTGGATTCATGGTGATGATGGCCCTCGCTGTGGGAGTGGCAATGGTGTGAATGGTGGATATGGAGCCAAAGCAAAGCAATGACGGGCTAGGGACAGGGACAGACCAGCGCTGGATAAGGTAAGACGTGGGACGGTGAGAAACGGTTCGTTCCAAGTCGGCGTGGGAAAAAGTAAAATGGCCAGAGACCGCATAACAATTGGGACAAGGGAGCGAGCGAGGCGGAAGGGGAAGCGTGATGACGGTGGACAATGGTGGGCTGTGCGCCTGTATGCCGTGTTCGGACAGTGCTGGCAGGCATCGGGAGGGTACTTGGTACGTGGAATGCCCCACGTACCTAGGTAGATGGATGCTGTGTATGTATGGGTGTATGTATGTCATGAGCTGTGGGCCATGGTTCTCCAAGATACGGTACGGTAAGACGGCAGGGTAGATGGAGCAAGACAAGGTGAAGTTGGGAATGGCTCAGGCGCATCTGTGGGCAGCGAATTCGGTCAGACCCAGGCCCGACCAAAGGTGGTCGAGAGGGGGGGGATGGGGGCAGCCATGTGCAGGGATTGGGGAAGTAGATGCCGCATTTGGGAAAAGAACATGAGAATTGCACGTCGGGATTGGATACCAGGGAGAAAGAGGGTTGGAATGAATAGCTAGGTGTGTAGGCATGCTGGGCAACCGAGACTTTGGCAGTCTTGGGGCGTTGGAGGTTGGAAAGGAGTCGGCCCGTTGGAATAGGTAGGTACTGGTTCGAGGACGGTCAGAAGCGTGCGTGCGTGAGTGAGTGCGAGGTTGAGATGGATAGGTGAGGTGAGGTGGAAAAAGACAAGGAACAGTAGCAAGCAAGACCTGAGGTGGGAAGAGGACGGGGAGACTCGAGAGGACCGAGGACCAAGGGCAAGAGGCAAATGCATTGGGTGAGACGGGGCTGAGATTGGGCAGTGGAAGATAACAATGATGAATGGGCAGGCGGGCAAGCGAGGCAGATGGGACCAACAGCGGAAAGGTAAGGGAGTACGTACCTCAACGTACAAGTGTACATTACTAGGTAGGTAGTAAGCAAAGACCTACCTGCTGCCTGTCTTCCTTTGCTGTCTCCTAGCTTCTAGTCTTGGTCCCTTCTACCTACTTACTTACTAGAGGTGTTATTATTCCTTCAGGCACAGCAAGAGATTAGAGCGGAACTCCTTGCCGTCGGCAAGGGTACGTACTGACTGCTTGCTTGCTTGTCTCTGTTAAATCTCCTCTGGTCTCGCATCATGTGACTAACAAGATGGGATATCCCCAGCTTCCAAATAATGGGTAGGTACCAAGTAGCTAAAGGTAGGGAAGCCACGGGCCATAGCACACCAAGAGTGGGTCCCACTAGACCCCTGCTTCCGCCGCTATTGTCGCTAGGGAGCCCCTGCTTTTGTTGGAGTACCTGGCGAAGCTGGAAAAGAAGCTTGGGCCGCCGCTCAGCTAGGTACGGACCAGGCATGTTCTTTTTTTTTTTTTTATCTTTCCCCCCTCCCCTCTCTCCCTCTCTTCGTATCGGTTACAGATCAGGCAGCCGTCATTTGCAGGAAACAAGGAGAGTACACAAGGAATCGAGATACAGAGTACTTTCTGCGCACATGCATGCATGCATGCATCCTACAGAACTCTCTCCCTCTCTCTCTCTCTCTCTCTCTCTCTCTCTCTCTCTCTCTCTCTCTCTCTCTCTCTCTCTCTCTCTCTCTCTCTCATATGTCGAATGCTGCACGCGTTCAGATGTCACCGTACTCTCCTCTCCAGTGGGGCAGCGAGAAGATGCACCAGTCATGCATCCTTGGAGAGCCAAACTCGGAGTATCATAATCAACGCTCACTTTTCTATGTGCCAATATACATCGGATCGACTCAGAGGGCTGTAGAATCGAATAAATGCTTGTTGCTTGTTTCCGTTGTCTTGTGCTAGTTCCAGATCCGACGCCATGGTATATAGCCCAGCAAAAGCAACCGAAGCGAAGCACCGGTCACTCGAAACGAAGTACTAGCCATTTGATGGGTTTGCACGTACCTACCCTGCCCAATGCATAGAGTTGTAAGGGAGAGAAAGAAGAAAAAAAAAGAAAGAAGCGGCGAAACTTGATGGGCATCGACCGAACGGTTCGTCCGTCGCATACCATCAGTCTTGGGACAGCGGACACGATCAGATGTCGCAACATCTCCCCGCCGTGGACCTCGAGTTCCAACCTCACGGTCCAGACCTCTCTTGGTTGGATAAGGCATCCCTCCAACGGCCCCGTTGGACAGCGCCGACGGAACACCAGGCTTGGAAGTGTGCTCGTCATTCATCCTCATTCTCACCTTATCCCCCCCCCTGGGGGACTGAAATCACCGAGCTTGCCTGGTGCGTCTTGCGTTTCCGTGTCCTGCTTCTCCGTTTCGATACCACGTTGCCAGCTTTGTTCCTCCGAGAATTCTCAATGGCGCCATTCTGCTTCCTCGGACCTGGGTGCCTACGTTCGGATGAAGCAGCGACTCACAATGGCCGCTAACTGGCGACACCCTCCTGTCGATCAGGAAGGCCAGGTGACTGGAGTGTCCCCGAGCATCGGCCGCTGCGCCGAGAGAGAGGGAGAGAGCGGCATGCTGTGTGTGGTTGGTACCAGGCGTCGTTGTCCAGCCATCATGATGACGGCAACGCTCAATTTCCGCACTTTCCGAGACGAACGGGACGAGGCGTCAGACACGTTACTGCTTGCCGAAACTCTCGCAGCGTACTACATCAAGTAAACTGGTGGCCTAGGTATGTACGTGGATGGCCCGGGACCTCGCACAGAGCCCGCGGTCCGTTGCCCGAGAAATGCAAGAGAAGGTTAATGTTGTTTGACGTTGAGAAGCCTCTTCTGTTCAGGGCCCCGTTGTGACAGAATAGCTTGGAATCACAATTATTGGCCGATTCCAATTCCTTGTCATGGTGGTCAAAGTGTCATGGTCTCGACACGGCCATGGCGAGTCAGGATGAATCTATCTTGGCCCATGGCTGAAGAACGCGTGGTGAATGAGGGAAGCGGATCTATCGTGCCTAGCTGCTCTGCTCTCAGAGCGGATGCCTGCTGCGCATCTATCAAGATGCCTCAGAAAAGCAGGAAGGCGCCTACCTACCTACCTACCTACCTACCTACGTAGGTGCGTAGGTGGCGACCTACCTAATGACGCAGGAAAGTAGGTAGGCATCGTAGACGGACCAAGGGGGGGAAGGAGAAACAACCGAGACCCACTTGCCACGGCGCGGCACCGAACCGTGACGGTGGAAGGGCCGGAGGAGGGGCAGCAACGCTGCCTCTGAAAGGAAAGGACGGCGGCGGGACAAGCCGCTCACCAGTCGCCGTGGTTGTTGTTTCCTTTCCTTCAGTGTTTGGATTTCCGCCCCACTTTCCAACTCAAGGCCTCGGTCAAGGTCGGCACGGTGCCGTAGACATGGACGTTGAGGGTGACTG